TTTTCCATATTTTTCAATTTTTTTTTGTTCATTGCATATTTTTACTGAAAATTGATCAAATCTATAAGCGTTATATACTATTCAATGACGCAAAATCTGCTCCACAAAATCCTCCTGAAGATCTTATCCGATGGTATCTTTTATTATGAATAAAAGTCGAAATATAAAAATTTATTACGGATTTTCAAGCCAATTTTTTCAGGTATTTCAATCAAAAGAGCACTAGTATCCGTGTGCCCCAGAAAAGTGAAAACATATTCTGAAAGTCCGTCAAAAAATCCATCTTTTTGACATAAAAATCATATAGAAAAAAGCACACAACGCTATTCAAAGAAATTTTTTTATAACAAATATGAATATTGTATACTTTTTAATCAAAGAACACATCATTTTTATGTAATTTTTAAAAATTTTTTTTTCTAATTTTGACTTAACTAATCGATACCAAAGTTGAAACTCTTTGTCAGATTCGTGTTCAGTATGAAAGGCTGAATCGAATAGAACATCTATATAATATTTTAACTAGTCTTGTAAGAAGCCAGCAGTGACAGTAATAGATACCTGTGTATAAAATCTATTATAGTATATAGACTTCTGTAAAAAGTCGAACACTAAAGTGTTTTAACTTTTCTTCGTTTCATTTGAGAAAATGAGGGTCGAAAAATCAACAGCTTTTTTTGTCTTTGTAGAAACACACGAAAAGTGAAAGCACCACACCTATTCTCAATCTCTATTCTTTAAATAGACACTCACAACACTTTATTGAAATCGTAAACGAATCGAAGACACCGAGATACAACATCTTGTTAATGCTCTCGCTAACCACACCGTAATATGTAATTTACCACTCGTATTCATCTTGTCAATCTTCATATCACACACAGACACTCACTACACTCAGTCTTGCCAATAATGAAAACGGTGCCTCAGGGGCACAATATCTTGCCAATATTCTCACAAATAAGACTGTAACAAACAATTTGCTACTCATCTTTGTCTTCTCAATGTTCATTTTACACACAGGTACTCACCACACTCAAAATTGGTTCTAATCGAATTGGAGAGCAAGGAACAAAACATCTTGCCAATGCTCTCACAAATAACACGGTGATATACAATCAGTACTCATATTCGTTTTCTCAATCCCCACTTTACACACAGACACTCACTACGCTCTACCTAGGATATAATTTGGTTGGAGAGCCAGAAGTACAACATCTTGCCAAGGCTCTTGCACAAAACACAGTAATACACTAGTTACTCTGTATTTTCGTCTTTTCACTCTTCTGTTTCAATGCAGACACTCATCAAGCTCGACCTTGGAAATAGTCGAGTCGGGATATCCAGGGCACGGCATCTTGCCAATGCTCTCTTAAACAATAAAGTAATACGTAATATATTATTCATTTTGGTCTTGTCAATTTGTACTTTTTATACAGACAGACACTCACTGCACTCGGCCACCGCAGAAATGAAATACAAGATCAAGAAGCACAACACTTTGTCGATGTTCTCATACACAACATGGTAGTATACCATTTACGATTTATTATCGTCTTTTCAAAGTGCATTTTTCATGTAGACACTTACTGCACTCGGTCTTGGATGTAATGGAATCGGAGTGGAAGTCCAACAACGATTGAAGCAAATTTCGAACAAAAACAAAACTTTGCATGTATACTAGTGGGATTGGGTGAATTGTTTTGAGACAGTTGCTTTCGAATGTTTTGCATGATGCTATCTGCGTGTGTGAATGTTGTTTTTATTGAGAAGAATAATATATTTCATTTTATTTTATTGACGAATCTTTCTTTTGTGGAACTTCATCGGATATCAGAACATTCAGAAGCCAACGTAAAAATTAATTTATTGGGATGGCTTTATACATAACTATCTGTTCACAGTTGCTTTGAACAAGTGTAAGCATAATCGTTCGATGGTAAATCATTGTTGCTAGATAGTTGAAAGACGATTTTAAATGGATCTGCGACAAATATATTGGTTTTATTTCCAATGGGCAGGTGATTTCGGGTTTGAATTGTCTAACAATTTCTTTATAGATTGTTCGTCCTGTTTAGGACCACTACTTAAGTACACTTCAAATGCATTCTGAATATCGGAAGTTCTGTTGATAAGTAAAATAAGAAAAATTCTATTTATATGACTAATGCAAGATTTTCTTGTGACTGATTATTCTCATCGAAATTTTGCTAAAATATGGCGAACGTAGTATCTATTTGAATAGCTAATACCACAAGATGAGAATCAGATATTGGAATTGGCTTTCACTAATGCGTTACCATTTCTTGTGAACGTTGTTAAAAACCTTGTTCAGCACTATTACTACTTGATATATTTATTTCTATTGCTGTATCCCCATTTTCAGTTTTTTGTTAAATTAATGAATGTAATATATTGATGACTTATTAGATGAAAATGGTGACGGTTGAGTTCTTATAAGATTTGTATTTCTTGTTTGGATCAAGCTGGTTGACAAAAATGGTTGACGAAGAATAATTCTATACATAGAAGATAATTCAACAGTCTGAGCAAGATCTACAACTATTCATTATTCCAGTTATTAATCAACTTATGAAACACCTTGACGATCGATTGCCATAATAGATGTTGATTTTCTTGATCAAGTTGATTTATATGCTGCTTTAATATGTTTACATTTCTTCATAGGAATATTTTCGTAACTTCTTGCTTGAAAACTAGATGAATTAGAATTGATCAATCAATAATGCACTAGTGCCTTTTTATTTCTCAATCAACGAAGAAGAAAATTGAAAATTGCTATATACGTTATCTTCTTATTTCATTGACGTATTTTTTCTCTAAATAATTTCAAAATTTTACTGAAGCAATCTTACTTTGGAAAGAAAGAAATAAACTAAGTAGTAATGACGCTATCCAACATTTTCAAAGCGAACGCTAATATCAGGAAAAAAGGTCAGAAAATTGCATTTGCTTGGCGAATACAGGTATGAGTGTATGTTTCGAACCTCCCTACTCTCACAATTTCAGACATACACGCATATCTGAATTGGAGCGATGACAGTATCGACTTGATGCAAATATTACTATCTCAAACCCAAACTTATATGAAGTGATAGATGAATTAAAGAAAGATCATGTGTTCAAGATGCCTACGATGAAAACTACTTGACATGAATATGAATAATCCTTTACGGAATAAAAGAATTATTTGTCACTAGATACATAGCTTAATAAGATTAGCAAAACTAATACAAAGTTGTATTTGACTATTCTTTGTAGAATACTGCTAAATAAAATGTGTCGATAAAGCAGGAAGATAAATCAATTAGTCTTAATTCTTCGATGTAATTGAACGAAACCCTCATTCATGTAAAGTCAGGCCACTAATTGGCCGAATTATCCATTGAAATGACGCTTCCTAAATGAACAATATTAAACAGCTTCTGATCGGAAAAGAGTAGAGAATTACATGCAAAAATATGTCGATCATTTTCAATGGTCGAACTTTTCGGATTTCAATGAAAGCCAACCATACACAAGAAGAGTTGGTCAATGAATAAAATCATAGTATTCCTTTCTTTCAATTTTCTACCATTTTTAAAATCATCCTGACCAGAAATACATGGAAATAGGTATCGCAATCCTGGACCTATCTTCTAATTGATTGACACAGTTTTTGTTTGTGTACATTAGCAATCAAGAAAGGCATGCAGACACTTCTAATTTTTTTTTCTAACTAGCATCAGAGTACCACTATTGTTTTCAACTACTTAATATTTTGTATGGAGTTTTTCGTTTTTTTACGAAGTGTTCGACCGTATCTCAACGAATTAATAATAAAAACAACAGTCACGTTTTATGAATTCGTTTTCTATTATAAGAAAAAGAGTAAATTTTTATTAATAGTCAAATAAAAAGTGTACTATATAAAATCTGCATAATTAATCCTTCGTCGTTGTCGTGGGATCTAAGTGAACCTACGTTACAGTTTTTCATGCAGTATCACATAAAGACTTCATGTTTCGGGTTAGTTCTCTTCTCTAGTCTGTAGTCTTTTGTTGGTACATAATATTCGTGTGAGACATCACAAATAGGTCTAAAATAAAAAGAAAAATGTAGATATGAGTTCACATGAACTCACAATAACTACAGTATTATGAACATCATTTGTCATTTGCTTTCTGTTTGTCTTTCTTCTTCAAACAGCATCAAAATGGTAATTCATAAGGTGTGTGAAGAAAAAGATTAAAACAGATTTTTCATTCAATGTGACGATTTTTCGATAGAAGAAGGGTTAGTGAAGATGGAGTTACACTTTATTTGGCTTTTTCATATCATAAATCGTCCCTACATACAGATGTTTCTACGCTTTATATATGCAGGAATCAAGACTAATCAAAGAGAACAATATAATTGTGTGAAATATAATACTACAAGATAAAGACAAAGCTTAGAGTAATAGTAACATGTATGGTAAAGACAAAATAGTAGTCTAACCTAGCCTTTACCGTTACGTTAAACAAATAAATTCAAATATGAATAGCATCATCATTGTGATAAAGCAACTAAGTTTTAACTGTCTTTTAATCATGAAAAAGAATAAGACAAAAATAAAAAAGACTTAAGGGAAAAAAGTTTCTCTTTCTTTTTATAAAGAAAAGAGCATCAAAACCTTTATATAACATAAATGAAAAGCTTGAATGAAGCAAAAGTATCCTATTTTGATTATTTCTCTGGATGGGTTCAGGCAGATCCAGGACAACAACGAAGGATTAAAGCGCAACCCTATGTTACTTTGAAAAAAATAATTTTGGCAAATGATTTTTTGTTTTTTTTTTCAAATGTAATTATTTCTATAAAAATTTGCTCATAGTAAAGATATCACTCATATTTACCATACATCAATTGTTAGATTATCTTAATTCAAAAAAAAATCTGCTGTTTAAAATATGCTTAGACTACCAAATTTAATTAATGTGACTAGAGTTAATATTCAATTAGCAAATCTGAAATCGAGGATTGATGTAGATTTTTTTTTCATTTGCATATCGTTGAATACATAGATGAAATGATACGTGTTCACATTGTTCATTATTCCACCACCATCCATGTTCATTGTTTCCTTCATATGAACACGCAATATTTAAATATTTAGCATCGTATAAAGCGGCGCCACCAAATGCGGATTCAACTTCTATTAATGAGATATTACGTGGAATAGGTTCTTGATGGATTTTAACTAAATGCTTAGTTAAAAACGTTCGATCAATAAAAAACGATGTTAGTTCTTTTATACGTTGCCAACAATCAAACGGTAATATTGATTTAATACGTAATGCCCAAATATCATAATATTCTGTTCGTTGTGTTGCTGTCATTGCAATCCATGAAAAACGTTCATAAATAAAATTCGAAAGAAAATCTTTTATGTCAAATGAAGGTGATGAACCTACATCCACATCAAGCACTAAATAATAATCAAATGATGGTACTTCTTCACGAACTTGTTGAAGAAGAGTATTCCGACATGAAGCAATACGAGCAGTACCTAGAAAATATAATGAAGTTCAAATGATGAACAGTTCTCCGCATTTTCATTGCAAGATATTAAACGACTATCATAAAAAACTATCCTTACGATCCTAACTTAGTCATCATTTAAGCTGCATTTACTGAGCATAAATTTTACTTTTTCAACTCAACAAAATATCCTATAATATGAATTTATGACTTTGTATACGACAGCCACAAACGGCCATAACTTTTTCTGAGCTGCTGTTTTTTGATGACTGATAAAAGCATTTTTTTTCAAGTTTTGTATACGTATGTATAATATGAAACTTTGTTCTACATTATATGATACATGTGATTATTTTAATGTACAGTATTACACTCTTAAGATTTTCTTGGTCGCAAATAAAAAGACAGCTAATTTTTCCTCATTTTATTTGACATGCATACTTCTTTGCGGTGTATTCTCAAGACTTTTCCTATTTACGTAACTTTTTAATATATCGGATGGATTCTTTATGGAAAATGTTCAATAGTAATCAGTACGTGAAAGTCACCAATAAGTAAGTGTGAGTCTCGGAAGACAAGGATGAAAATAAGATCTATACCCATGCCCTTCATTCAAAACTCTCAACTTTGAAGATATATGGATATCTACGATGTGGATGTAGGTGTGAGAACAGATGTAGACTTATCGATGTAGTTGCAAGGCTTCTATCAAATAATACTCATACGAAAATCCTCTCAGATCCGTACTAAGACCAGCTATAAATATACTCTATCTAACAGTTTGCTTTATTTTTATCTAGTAGAAAAACTTTAGAACTAAAAGAGTTAAAATGCCTCCTAGGTCATCACGGTAGAGTATTGCACGGGTATAACTTTTTGTATCCGTATCCGTCTCGAACAAGGATTCATCAACTCGTACTCGTAACTTTTTTACCCAAATTTTACCCGTAGTCGTACTCTAATACCAGAAACCGATCGTATTCGTACTGTAACCATAATCAAAATTCAGAATATCAGTTTACTATTTTACTTAGCTTCAATGAATAAGAATGAAATAATAACATTTATATGATGACGACAAACAATTACGAGAAACTACAAGAGCAGTATGTAAAGAAAGAATAAGAGTCATAGTCTCTAGAGATCATCCAGTTTTGCTAAATCTTCTTTCGTTAGTTGCTGAACTAGTCGAAATACATGATGAAATCATAGCTAAATGAGATAGTTGCCTATAAACAACTGAATAAGTTTACCATCGCTTTAACATTTCAGAACCTTTTGGAACAAAAAAAAATTCTTTTTCATGCATTTATTTATTTCATCGAATCTATAGAAATCGGTATCATCGGAATGCGTCATCATGTTTTCGACTGAATGATCCCAATAGGTCGTCGATAGTCGGTAGATTGGTACAGGGGTAAAACTTTTTGTTCCCGTACCCATCAGTTGCAATATTCTACATCACAATAGATCTTCATTGTTTGATTATCCACATCTATGAATATGATTTCAAGATTAAGTCAGGTAATTACAACTTGAGGTAAATGATAGCCTACCATGGTAAGAATATCGAAATAGGAAGATGGTGGAAAGATTTTCAGGGTTATTGGTCAAAACAGATCATAGCCTAACAGAACCATTCACTAGTTGCCATCATTTTACAGCTACTTCGAAGCTCGTACTATATTATTGGAATCATCAATGTGAACAACAATTTCTATAAAATCAGTGACGTCAGTAAAAAATATTGCTTACAATTCTTTGTTGACTTTTATCTTCATATAAGGTAGACATTAAGTTAATAGTAGTTTTCTCTGTTAGTAGACAAAATACCAGAAAAGTTTTAAATAAATATAGGAAGTAAGGAATACTTGTATGATGCAAAACAATATTTATTTGCATAGAAACTCACGTGAGGGAACTTGCCATCGTTGTTGTCCTTTTGAATAAACACGAATATGATCTAAATCATTTTTCCTCCATTCATTTAAGAATTTTAACGTCTCATCATGTGAATCAGATTCACCGAGATAAATTCGATAGTCACCAAATAATGCTGTAATGGCGTGAACATTCCGTTGAAAACCAACAAGATTTTTTTTTACATTTCGACAACAAGAAGCAATAACTATGGTAAAATTTGATAAATTAACATCTTCTATTTTTAATAAAGGTATTAGTGGGTTTTTATTTATTGTTCGATTATCTTTCCAAAAAGGTACTGTAGAAAATGGATATGATTTTACAAAATTATTATAAACAATAAATGTATGAATAATAGAAATAACACAAATAATTATTATAGTAAAAATCATTGAAATAATGCATAGAATCAAACAAATGATATTTATCGTACGAAGACCACGTAGTTTCATCTGAGAAATAATTTTTCTTCTTTGAACCAGTAATAGGATATACTTTCTTGATTATTATCTTTTTCTTTTTGTTGTGTTCTTATCGTCCACCAATTGACGAAAGTAATAGTTTAAAAATACAACCTATATACGCCAGCAACATAATAAATTGTGCTTTTTTTTTCTGTTCTACAAAATAGACTTTGACATCGTCCAATAAGCATTGATTTTTTATACTGAAACCTCGTTTCACACACGCATATATGTACCTTGTTACGACACTACTTGTCACAGATGATGATTACAAATATTTTTTTACATCATTTAATGTGCATTCACTGTATACAATGAGAGTAACAAAAAAATACTCGATTTCTACTATTGTCAAAAATTAAATATTGACTTTATTCTTACTTTTATTAAAATTAAAATTTAACAAATGAGACTTTAATTCAAACTCTCAAGGTACTGAAAAAACCTAATATATTTCATCATTACATTTTGACTATCGTGCTTCACCACGTTGACAGATAAAGAAAAAAAGCTCGTTTATTACCTTCGAAGATGGAGGTCGTATATTACCTTCATATACGATTGTAGAGATATACATCGTTTATTAGCATACGCCAACTTTTTTTCTCTTGACTATTGACTCTCCTAAATCGTAAAAAAATGTATTTTATATGATTGTCATTACGAAAATAATTCTTCAGTAGTTTTGAATTGATTTATATCTATATTATGAATGTAATTATTATGCAGCATGTCATCATTTGTAATTTATAGGTTGAAATGGCAATAGTTTTACTAAAAAAGAAGAAAATGATTCACATTTCTAAATCCATATTAGACGTCTCATTACAAAGAAAATCTTTTGGGTATTAATAGGAGATGATAATTAGCCTTTTTGAATTGTTCTAGAGATCAATGAACTATATATATTAAATGGAATAGAAATGTTTGAAACATTTCTTCTGGTTAATATTGTTTGAGATAAATCAAATATGATTAGAACAAAAACATAGTTATCACAAGTCTATACTAATTAAATGTCGAACTGATGTATTTCATGTACGATAACAAGTAATTGCGGATAAGCATATTTTTCTTTTATGATGTAACCAAATATAAAATTCAAACTTCAAACAAGTTAACTGCAACGTAACAATCGTTTATATGGTGACAATACATTGACGTAGACGGAAAGGCTTGACAACTCAAATTAAGATTTTATTCATATATAGTTCATATATAAGCTCTATAAAATAGGAAGGAAACAACGGGGAATGATTTTTTTTTCAGGACTAATAAGACTTCTTAGGATTGTTCAAGATCAATTATTGTTATTTGTGATTTCTTCGATCTATTCAATTTGTTTTCTATTGTGTGCTCTTGGTTCATTTATTCAATATATCAATACTAACATTTTGATGACAAGAAGATATTCTGATTGAAACAATGATTTTAAGGAATATTCGTATAAATCAATAGCATTCATTATGATATGTAATGTTACCATCTTACATAATATTACTATGAAAAATATTGAAAACATATTCGTAATACAAGAAACATCATCGATTATTAAATAAGTATTTATAATCATATGAAAATAGCTTGTCTTATTGTATTTTGTAAAAGCTTGTTTTGGTGAACGTTAATTTTTCTCATGGAACATTCATTTTTTTATTTAGTAAATAAACACCAAGAACGGTTTACAAGGAATTTATTATTCTTGACAAGAGTAGATTGCATAATATCGACAAAACGTTTATTGTTGTTATAGAACAATTCATCGTTTGAGTAGCTATTTACCTTGATCAAAGGGATTAGCTTTTTTAAGAAGCACTTAACAGAATTTCAAGTCAAAACATAATCTTTGCATATTCACTTCTTGATTTGATCGTCTTCTATTTGAGATAATATTAATTGATCTTATAATCTTCATTGATATCAAACTTTGAAAGCTGAGCTCAACTATTGAAGTTTCATTTCAAGTTTTCAAGTACGACTGTAACTGTTTAATTTTTAAAACAATTAAAAATTTTTATGTATACTTCGCTTGTCGAGAATACCATGAAAAAATACACACGAGAGATGTATCTTGTGGAGGATGTCACAAAATCTTATCAGAATAAAACAAACATGCAGAAGATATTCGAAGGTCAATTAAATACTTCCATAATGGAAAAGTCAATATGAAAAAAAGGGTAGTTCTAATAATGAGTTTGTGTCAATCTTGTAAACTTTTCTTGTTTTCCTTTTCAAAAATGAAGACAGTTTTATTTATATAAAAGCTAAAAGATTAAAGATACTTGTTTCATTTAGAATCATGGGTATTGTTAAATAAAAACTCTATAAAAAATTTCAAATTTATCATGAAATTTTCTCGAATTGACTAAATATTTTAATTGATTCAAATCTGTCGTTTGTTGACTATTTTCATTGGTTGTCTATGAACAAGCTCAAGGATAAACTAAATAGAAATTATTAATTTTCTTTCACTGACATTGTCGGATTACTGAAAACCATTAGAAAGTTGACACTAGTTGAAAGAGAAAAGCTATATTGATTTGACATGAAAAAAATATCTCTATCAACACTAATTATATAGAACTTATGAAAAAATCTCTTTGTATGAATGCTTGATATTATCACTCTAAAAGGTTTGAATCCCGGACATAATCCAATGTTAACTAAATCACTCAAATGTTTATTATCAATATTTGCACTAGTGAAGAATTTTTTTTTCGAGATTTTTCAAATAATATTCAATACCCTTGCACACTTATATGTTATCATCTTTTTTTGCTCTTGAATGTATATGAAAAAAAAATTATTGCTACTTTAGAATGAGAGAACAAAAATAAATGTTGATCTTGTATGGAAACTTGATCCATTCAAAATTTGATAAATAAAAGTCGTGCATAAAAAGAAGAAAAAAAGTAAATGAATATGAATTAACTAGAAGTTCGACGTGAAATATGTCACAATATGCTAATGAATGCCGAAGACAAAGTTTTTAAAATACAGTTTTTCTGTTATCATTCCAATATCAATAACTATTCTTACTCAAAAATCATTTATGTCGAATTTTGTCAATCTATGTATAGATGGTTTCAGTGTTGCAGTATCATTGGAGCGAAGAGAAGTGATCTGCAAAAAATGAGTTCACTATTTCGAAGTATAGAATCAATTTTTACAGATAGCTGAAAAAGTTTAGCTGTGTCTTGATATAGTTGCATACTCAAGTACGATATTCGCTGGTAAAGCAAATCTGTTAAAATAATGTTGAATATATGATGACATAAATAAGAGTCAATGTTTATGAGCAGCCAACAATTAAAAACAAACAATCGTTTTCCGGGGCATAAGATGATCATTAATTGTTGAATCATGATGAAGGTCTAAACATTGGCTATAGCTTGAATAGATCAGAATTCATTCTATTAATCGCTACCTGCAATACTATCGTATTCATTTGTCGAAATATAGACTCACGATTTAATTAAGTGAACACTGCTATAGCATGTCTCTAAGATATCCCATAAAACAAACATGTGTTTTAATGAATTATCCATGTTGGTGTGAGTGTAGGTCTGCGTATACGGCGAGTGGATGTGCATATGGATCTTCTATTCTTTCACTTTCATCCACGCTCACACCTATATTCACATTCTAAACTTTCACAGCGTCTGCCGAGAAAATTGAAGATTTCAGTTAGAAAAATAGCAAGTAGTCATGATCTACTCATACTAATCTGTGCAAAAACTGATATTTTAGCAATAATATTATCGCTTTTACTATTGACGACTTTTTCGATAAGTATTCTGCTAAGTTCGTTCCAAAATTTCTAAACTCATTGCTCATGAAAGGAAGCAACTTTTTTTTTAGTAGCGTAAATCAAAGTGATCTCAAATCTGCGTCATTTTCTCGATAGAAGGTCCAAAAATTTATAAAAACGTGATAGCTGTCTTCCTAATTCTTCCAATCCAACGGTCGGGTTTGATTTTGTAATTTTACCAAATCTCACAAGTAGACAGTATGTTTTTAAACGATTCGGACGCATTTAAAAGTGATAATTTAATCTTGTTCCTTGTTTGATATATACAGCTTCTAAAATTCCCAACAAGCACCCTTTTTCGGAACTTTTTCACAACCAAGCACACCAGAGAAAGAAGTTTTAGTTTTCTATTATTTCAGTGAAAAAATTCTGTGTATCAAGTTTTGCTAAGAATATCCTTGGAACTGATGATCGGAAACTATGACTTCGTCTTCTTAAAATTTTGTGAAGATAATCTTTGAGATTATGAGAACAAGTTTGAGTGGTTCAACGTTTGATTCTATTTGGATGACATTGATATAATTGCGGTATGTGTTTGCAAGAATTCTTCGATAACTGTAGGACTGTTCTGAATTGACATTTTCATCACTGTATGGATGGTTTTCTGAATACATCTTTGATGATTGTGCAACGTGTGATAGTTGTCTAGTTGTTTGAATAAGTTTCTTGGGTTCTGAAGAATTCCTTGTTTTTTTTACAGAAATATAAACAAGAAATTATGTCAAATGACTGTCATTCTAAGAGTAATTTTGTTGGTTATCATCTATTATATTTACATCACTCATTGTTGTGGGTGTGGATGGTGATTTTGGTGTGGGCGTGAAAGTAAGAGAAGCGAAGATATCGATCCACAGACCCAGAGAAAACGCATCAAATATTTTAGATAGTAGAAAGAAGTCTTATTAGTGTTTTTATTTTTGAATAAATTATTCATATTGTCACACACTTTTACCAACGGAACTTAGTGAAATATGTCCGAACACTAATATAAAGACATGCGTTTTACATACAGAAAAATGATGAGCTATAAACTGTCGAAAACATAATGCTTTTCAATACTACTTGATAGTTATGTTCACATAAAAAACTTCTTAAATTTTAATTCATTCTAATTTAAGAATGTATTTAGCAATGTACAACTCAATGTTCTACATTTTCTTTTCTTGCTTTTAAGATTGAGCTAAGCGAGGTTCATGGACCCACGTATTACTTGTTTTGCATGACAGAATATAGTTTGCATTGAACAAGACCCTTATTTGTTATCGATTTGTTACGCATATAAAAGTTATTGGAACGATTAAAACATCAATATTTTCCAATGATCGTTGGAAAAAAGAATGCATTATATGAGTTTGTGTAGAAATGGTTTTTCATTCGTTTTGTATAGAACGAATGACTGTTGGATATATCTTTCTCTAAAGACGAAAGCAAGCTTTGTTTTCAATCTAATTAAATAACTATGAAACAATCAAAACGAAATAGGAAAGAGGACGATTCAACTGTACAAATATTGATTTGTAAATTGTATATTATTATCGTCATTTTACTTGTCTATAGAATCTTTTATAAACAAAAACTCTGTAATAAGAACGAAATCAATGAACTCTGGTGTTGGTTCAAACAAAACAATGACGAAATAACATTTAAAATGTATTGAAGCGATGCAATAAAACGAATAAAAAGTTTAAATAGTTAAAGTCACTATTTTCGTTGATTCTGTTGAACCGTTACTATCGGTAATTTTTCGATTTTTTCATCTATTATTTGTGGTATTTGTGCTTTTCGTTTTGTACCACTATTATCATTTTCTTCGGATGATTCTGTTATTATTTCTTTTTCTGAATCATTAGTACGCAATCGACGAAAGTCTAAGAACATAGAAAAATTTGATCACTACAAATGAATAAAATAAAACTTACCGGAGCTATAAATCTGGCAAATCACCATCATCATCATCATTACTCTCGATTTGCTTGACATTCTTGTCCTAGATGAATGATTTGATAAATAATTATTAAAATACTTACAAAGAATATAAGCACGTTTAAATCTTTTTCCTTGAGTATGTCTCATAATATGAGGCCTTGATTTATTCAAATAACGCCATATTAATTCACAAAATAATTATCTTTTCTTTTTCAAAATTTATTTTTGTAACTAATTTTAATATAGAAAATCACACATACTGATGATGTTTTTCAAATAACTATTGTCAAATTTTTTCATAACTAAATCTTGATATTTTTTGTCATTAACATATATTTCAATAGCATCAGTGCGAGTTAACACTTCATGTTGAGTCCAGTTACATGTGAGTTATGAGAACAAGATAAAACACTCAAAAAATTTCGTTTATTTAAGCATAACTATTTTCTTGTTGCAAGATCTTTATTAGAATGATGTTGTAATGATATATAAGTTTTTAGTAAAGACTCTACATTAATAGTTGAATTTATATCAAGTTTCATCTAGAAAGATGAATGCAGAAGAAAAAGAAGAACTATATTTATTTGAAAAAAATGAAAAGAAAAAAGGTTTATTTTTTCTTGAGCTTCTCAGTAAGTTCAGGTAAAATTTTAAATAAATCACCAGTAAGTCCATAATCAGCTATACTAAATATTGGTGCATCTCCATCTTTATTAATTGCAACAATAACTTTACTATCTTTCATGCCAGCAATATGTTGAATAGCACCTGATATACCAATAGCAACATAAAGTTCAGGTGCAACAATTTTGCCTGTTTGACCAATTTGTAAATCATTTGAACAATAACCAGCATCAACAGATGCTCGTGAAGCACCAACAGTTGCTTGACCAGGAAATAGATCAGCTAAATCATAGAGTAATTTGAAATTTTCTTTGCTTTTAAGTGCACGACCTCCAGAAAATATCTATCAATAAAATAATAATATAGAAACATAAATTTTCAATATACATATACATACAATTCGAGCACTAGATAATTCTGGTCGTTCTGATTGTTGAACTTGTTGTGCAACAAATTCTGATAAATCATTTTTTATTGATGAATCAAGTTTTTCAACTTTGACTTCTCCACTTCCAGCAGCTTGTTTAGCTGCTTCAAATGCTGTACCACGTACAGTTATTATTTTAACTGGATCATTTGATTTAAGTTTGAGTATAGCATTACCAGCATAAATTAAACGCATAAATTGATCTTTATCAATTATTTTTGTGATATCCGATATAGGTTGTACATCAAGTAAAGCAGCTAAACGTGGTAAAATACCTTTAGTAAATGTTGATGAACCACCAAGAATATGTGTATAATTATTTTTCTTTTGTAAATCAAGTAAAACTGGTGTTATAGATTCACTAAGTAAACCTTTAAATGCAGCATTTTCAGCAATAAATATTTTTTTTATATTTAAATTATTAAATTTTTGTAATTGATTAGCAGTTTCAGTTGTCTTTTCAGAACCAAAAATAATACAATCAACATCTTGTTTCAATTGGCTAGCAGCAGTTAATCTGAAAAAAAAATATATATATTAGAAAATAATCTCCATAAAAACCAATGAAAAACATACGTATGCAGAGTAACTGGTGCAAGTTTACCACCTTCGACCTGTTCAGCAAGTACAAGAGTACTAGCAAAGCAACGCGAATGAATCGTCGATGTTGCTAAACGATTTAAAAAATGACGAGAATGTAACATCATCTAAAACAAGATTATAATCTTATAATATATATTTAAATGAATCTATCGTCGTATTCATATTGATATAACAATCACCAACATCGAATATATCTTTGATTGGATAAATTCTATCGGAAAACTTTGAGGATGAAACTAATTAGCTAAACATATTTTGAATTAAAGAATTTTAGCAACTTTTCTCAATTGCTGTTAAACGAATTGATAAGCAATTTTTCTAGAATTTCAATAATTCACAAGCAACGGTACAGACAATTGTACAAGAACTACAAAAAACAATTAATTTCATGAAGTATCAAGTAATTTTTGCTAAAATAAATGATGTTCTGGTATGATCATCATTACGAGCAATAGTTCAATAAATCAACAATACCAAATACTAGTACAGGTGATATACCTTTTGTTTAAAAGAAAACCGATAGATTTGAAGAATCAACTAAAAGAAAATAGAATAGGTTTGCAATAATTATAAATTAAAAATAAAATTTCGGGTAATTTTTTTTTGTAACTATGAGTTATTCTTTTCTAATCTATATCTCATAATAAATATATGGCTAATGTTTTCACACGTCGTTCACATTATCCTCGTTATGAATCTTATCGTTCACAATGGTTATCTTTACAATTAAAAATTTTCAATTCATCGAACTCTAAACAAAATCAACCATATAAGATAGTTAAGAGTTGTTCTTCTTCAAAATTTGATAATTCTAAAATACAAATATTATTCAAAAGCAATCAAAGACGTCCTTGCTCTCCCTTATTCACTACGTATACACATGATTATCGACCATGGTCATACGCAGATATAAAACTATCGAAAAACCAAAGCTTTGTTCAATATGATGAAGTAGCTGAATCTAGTGTACCAGCATTAACTACAGTGTCTATGACATCAAAACGATATGCATTACCGAATGTAACATTACCCATACCAATACGATGTTGTTGTACACATTCAAAACAATGGAAAGATCAATGTCTAACACAAACACAAACTAATTATTGGAAAAATTTGTCTTGTTGTGGTATTATACATGAAAAAGAAATTAATAAATACAACTAATAAAAATTACAAAATCGGTAAAGATAAATATATGACTGATAATAAAATAAGAATTTTAAATATTCTAACACATGATTGGTGAATCGCCTTTCTTCTCTCATCTACAGATGTCGTATGTAGATAGCAATAGACAAACTTATATTATTATATTTACTTCATCATCTGAAAAAATAAGAGTTACCAAATATGAAATAATATCAATTCACTTCATTGGATCTTAAGTGATGTGATCATATCGAGAACAAAGCTCGTAATTAAATATTTATTCAAAATCAAATTTTTTTTATTTTATAATATTCATGTTTTCAAAGTAAATGTATTAAAATCAAAATCAAAGTTATTAAAGATGATGAACTAATGCTTATGAATGCTTTATTAGATGGCTTTGAGGTTGTTGTTGATAGAGGATCTAGTTTTGCTGTACGAGTACGTAATGCATTTAAAGCGGCGTCATCGCCTATAAGTAAAGGTTCTAAAATTTGTGCCACTTTTACATGATATTGATTAATAGTATTTAATTGTGCATTTGTTAATAATGTAACATCAATCAACGAACGTTCGTATGGTACAAATGTGATTGTATTAAAACGTAAATATTGTGTATTGTCATATGTACTCCTGTTTGCTAATATAACTTCCATGTCATCTTCTATACGAATACCAAAGTCACCTGGTTTATAAAATCCAGGTTCATCAGAAAGAAATACTCCATCGGCTAATGCTTCTTCATATTCACTGTAGGCAGATGCAATTCGTTGTGGACCTTCGTGTACACTCAAAAAATGACCAATACCATGACTATAAAAGGATAAAAAGCTTGTTAGTGCAGCCTTCTTGGGGCTGAAACGAAAGAACTAACATATCTTCTTTATCTTCATTATACTTATACAAAATATACAAAGTGTAAAACTTCTAAAAGATGATAATTCTTTTGCGATAATAATGGATTGTCAGCAAATACTATGCTTCTGTTTATTTTTATATTTTAAACAGCAATTTTTTGTTATTCATTTTCATAATTTACTATTTTTAGTTTATTCATTGATTTGATGGACAAATAAGCTTGTTGTGCTCATTCATTATATCTATATCAGATGTGATTGATTTATTATGTATCTTAATGAAATTTGAAACGCTGATATCGATTATTCTCGAAAATTAGAACTTAATCAGCTCATATTTTTGTGTTAATCATGTGACGTGTGTAGGAAATTAAAAAATTGTCTCTAATATCTATCATGCAATCGTTTATCTGCACAAAAATTATAAACTGCGTTATTTAGAATACTAAAATAATCTCTTTCAATCATTTAAACTTTAAGGAAGATTCTGAAATGTTCTAAAACCTTCTAAGCTTCATTAGTCATGTCAGTCAGAGCCTTTAATACCGATTGCTAAGATATGTAAAGTGAAGCCTAGAGTCGCAAAAACTTCGACTTAAAACTTGCATTCACTATCTTCTTCGAAAATATACGTGAGTTCCACAACATATTTATTATATTGCTATGAAAGTTTTTAGAGATAGTAGTTTAATGAAATAATAAAATTATACGAACCCTACTCCATGCCCAAAGGTCATGCCATCTCTATACAAATGCATACGACCAAGATGATCAAGTGATCGACCATATGTTCCAGCAGGAAAAACAGCATCAGCAATATCAAGTACACCTTGAAGTACACGTGTATAAGCACGTTTCTCTAAATCTTTTGCAGTGCCAAAGTGATGTGTTCGTGTTATATCCGTTGTACAATCAAGATATTGACTACCAGCCTGGAGAAAGAGTCCTTTTGTTTTTATTTAATATTTATTTCAAATATTTACACTTACATCAAGTAAATAAATTCCATTTTTAGTAATTAATCGAGCAGTTGCTGGTATTGCTGAATAATGAACTATAGCTGCTCTATCACCCGATGCTGATATAGGTCGAAAACTTGGAAATTGAAATTTATCTTGTTGTTTTTGATAAACAAGTAATTGTTCAGATGATTGAGTTTCATTGACAGATTTTCCATCATTTAATTGTTGTTCAAGCCATCCAAGATGTTTCATACGAGCAACAGCATCACGTATTTGACAATCTTGCATTCCTTTTCGTTCTACTGGATTTTTTCTTGCTTTTGTACGTTGTACAGGTGAATTTGTTAATGGTAATAAGAGTTTATTATTAGGTATCAAATTAAATATAGCTTGTGATACTTTAGCACTCGTCCAAATCTTACTAATACTTGCATTAGTAGCTGTTGCATTTAAATGTGACCAAAACATGGAATAACTAAATATACGAACGCCAGGTGGACGTTGACTAGTACTGAGTTGTGCCAAATTAACAAATAACTCAGGTTGATTAATTTCATAATCAACATGTACTATAGCATATGATTTAAAAAAAGGATTATATGGAATATCAGAACCACGTAAATTAAATAACCATGCAATTTCATCAAGAGCACTTATAACAGTTGTTGTTGCACCACGTCGTTTTAATTCATTTGTTGTGCGATTCAATTTTTGAGCAACAGTCTCTCCTGCATATTGAAATTCATGAGTGACAATTGAATTTTGTGATTGTTCTGGTCGTTCACTAAGCCAAATACGATTGACTAGATCATCAACCGGACGAAGTTGTTTTCCGATTTCTTTTAATGCAGTATTAGCTGATGTCCACCATGATGTTGTAGTGAATACAGCTGTAGTACCTGGTGGCTAATAAAGATAAGAATTGAAATAAATATATTTCGAGTATATCCAACAAATAATATCAAATATGAAGTCTTACCAATGTAGTTTGATTTGCTTCTGAAACTAACCAATTAATAAGCATTGGTACGCCTGGATTTCTATCTCTCATCAAAAGCCAATTTGCACAATCAAGTTGTTCCTCAGCTTGAGTAAAATATCGGCTATCCGTCCATAAAGCTGCTGTTCGCAAGGAAACGACTGCTATACCGGCTGAACCACTGAATCCTGTAATCCAATCACGACGTTTATCGTACGGTTGTGTATATTCACTCCCGTGTTCATCATCAGGAAAGATAACATATATACCAATACCCTCATTTTGCATTTCTCGACGAAGATTACTCAAAATTGTTGATGTGTTCTTTTGTGTTGAAGTTGGTGTACATGTGTTCTGATCCGCTCCATTAACGAATGAACTACTGAACGTTATTAGAAGTAATGTGAAGAGAAACATATTTGAAATTCACTCTAAAGAAAAACGAAGTATCACTTGTTATTCTTGTTGTCGTGAACAGCAATAATAATAGAAGTTTTATAGAAAATGATGATGGTTTTTTTTATGACTTATTTGCTTTCGATATCGAGCAGGTAGATGATTTGTTCGAGTAATTTATGTATTCTTGTTTTTTTTTGTTGGTATTTTATATAATGTTGTGCTTTACGATCAATACAGCAGACAAAAGAAATTTTTTTATCGATGAGTTTACAGCAAATAATCATGGCCTACTACAATCGTCATTTCATCGTAGACATTAGTTTCATCATTGAAAATTTTTAAAATAAGCATAATTTTTTTTTCTTAAAGCATTATTATAGATAAGAAAAGAAACGAAAAAGGATGTAGAGGATGTATGAACGTGTCTTCTTGATTGCGAACGAAAATCAAAGCAATTAGCATGCCGACAGTGTGGATGAGGGCTGAAATTTTGTCCGCAATTAAGAAGTAGCCAGAATGAAAACATTTAGATTAACTCAACTGATGTCGAAGTCTATGTTCTTATGAGAGTTATGATGTTTGAAATTACTAAAGTGGAAAATAGAACGCATAAACAAGCAATTAGTGAAACGAAGATGACACTATGAGCATATTGGGAAGAAATAGTGAGTGTATGTACGTTTTACTCTTACCTACCTATTGAATCCTTGATCATCTACTAAATAATAATTTGTATTGTTTCGATGTTGGAATAGGTCGACATACTTATCTTTTGACATTTCAATCTATCAACATCTTCTTTTTCGACATTTCTATATGTGGCATTTATACTTTCCGAGTTTTGACTTTCGGCATTTTCCCTATATTTTGTTTTTGACCACAGAAGAATCTATAGATATTTATATGTACAAAATTACTCTGTAAATGGATTGATTGAATAAACTATATAGAATATCATCTTAATAATCCATATAAATCTCTTAGGAGCAAATGATTGATAAGTTTCGAAGAATTCTTGATATTGTACATTACTGTAACCTGAATAAATTAGACTTAAATTTTAATGCATAATTTTCCTTGTAATTATCATAGACCAAAAGTCAATGTATAAAGACTTGCCGTATTAGGCAATGATTTGATTTTATATTCGACACATCTTTTGATTACATTATATTTTTGAGTGTGTAGTCGTATTTATTTTAATAAAATAACGTGCGAATATGCACGTATTTAACAACCATGGATTAAAAATGTTTTTGCCAAATAGAATAAGATACATACGTGACTGATTGTCATTTCAATCTTTCATCAATCTATCAAATGTACCGCCATATGAATATCAAAATTTCAAGGAGAAAATATAATCCATCAACATCATCCTTGAGATATATATTTATTATTACAATTGCTAAGCCAACCAAGGATACAGTCAAATATAATGATATTGCTTGCAAACAATAGAAGATTCAAGTTTCTAAGAAAAATTGTTTTTGTATCATTACACATAATTATTCAATTTTAAATAAACTAAACAAGTATTTCATTTCTAATTGATAAAATATTTTATTTGATGATCAACAAACATACATACATACATACATTGTTCTTTATTTTTTTTCTCTTTTCATTTACTTATCCATCTCTTGTCATTTATATATATAATGTATATACAAAAAAAGACTGTTTTTGTTATAGAATACAGATATCTATGTTGATTGTTGATCTTCTAGAAACATTCGGAATTAACCCATTCATTTTCTTTAATGAATTTTTCGACTATTTCTTTAAGTACAAGATTATTAACAAGTTGTTCGACGACAAGTGGTTTATTAGCAATTGGATCAAGATGACTAACTTTATAGAGATTTTCTTCGATACATGATCGGCAATAAGTAATACCAACTAAAAAAAGAAACAAAATAGATATAATATTTTGTTTGTTTCAATTATATTTTGTTTTCTTTTTTTAAATATTTACATGGTGTAATCACTGGATCCCTCATAAGATCATAGCAAAGTTTACATGTTAAATATTCAGGTATTTCACGTCGTTTTCTTCTTATATCAACTTCATTAAATAAATTATTCATTTCATTTAATGATTGATCCGTTAACTGTTCTATTTCATGTAATGCTTGTTCAAGTTGTTGATCAATAACAATATTCATATCAACATTATTTGTTGTTGTTATTATTTTTGGACTAACGGAAACAAATGAACTAAGATTTGTTGTTGTTTGTTGATTATGATGATTTGTCATTTTCGATAAATAACATTTTAAAATCGAAAGACCGTTTGTTGATGATTGTGTTGAATCTTTTTCTTCTAAATATTTTTCAATACGTGATTGCATACGTCGTTCTTTATCAGATTGTATTAATGAACGAAGATATGTTTGTAAACTTATTTCATTTTCAATACGTTTTTGTTCCATAAGAGAAAAACGACGTTTTTGTGCATAACGTAGTAATCGTTGAATTTCATCACCGAAATTTTTATTTTGAATCTAATTGAAATAAATATAGAAATTTTTATGTTGAAAGATTAGTAAAAAAAAAAAAATATCAACAAACTTTGCTTAATTCAAGCGCTTGTTTAAAACATGTTATTGCCTCATCATATCTTTGTTGTTCAATATAATATTGACCTAAATATGCGTGAGCTTTAATATAATTTGGATCGAGATCAAGACAATGACGAGCATCTTGATAAACTTTATCCCATTGCTTTAACTTTATATAACATAATGCTCGATTTACGTAATAAATTGCTTTTTCACCATTTTGTTTTAATGCTTGATTATAACAATGAATAGCATCATTATACTTTCTTTGTAAAAAATGTTTATTGCCTATGAAACAAAACACAACCGATTAAATCATTTAGATTTTCAAAAGAAAATCACTCTATTATATTTCATATCTGAGTTCGACTGACAATTTTCTTTGACACTGTCATACTGACAATGGATCTGCACAATGTTTTCTGATATACTAATCTTGTGTAATCAAATTATTTTCTACATATGTTTACCATATGTCTCATGTGGAAAATTTCCCAATTGATTAATGGCTTTTAAGTCGAGACTACGTATGTCATATAGACCTGAATGATTTTTGAATGTTCTGGAAAGAGTTCGGACTCTTAGCTTACTACTACAAATATACTGCATGTTTACGATATTTTTTTTAGATGAATGCTGTGATCTGTCTCAGAAACATTAGAAAAACTAATTTTCGAATATCGATTGAAACTTTGCATAGAGACAAGATGAGAGATATGTGGAATCGGGATCATAAAAATTTGATCTCGCACGTTTCTCAATAAGACTTAATGAGAATAGTCTTTTAATGAAAGCGCCAGGTCATTTGCTTTGCTCTTACCATAAAAATATCTTGATATAGGAGTAACGAAAAGATCTAAACCTTTCACAATAAACTATTGTCATTAAGCCCTGTCTCTGTACAAAGTTCCAAGTCGAAATTGGAAAATCAGTTTTTAGGATCTTCTTGAACGGGATCACGACATTTAGGATCTACATAAAACACTTAGATCTGACTCAAAAAAGGTTAGTTCGTTGGTAATTTCTCTTGACAGCTCAAAGAAAAAAGATTTTTAATGATCAATACCAGTCTCGATTTCATCTCTGGTCATATCTTTTTTTAATACAAAAACAGCTTTCAGCTAGTATTATTCGAACTCAAGCATTCAGACTTCGAAGTTCGACTTCAACTTCGATTTCAAATCCGAATTCTTCGACATCAACAATTATTGTTACTAAAAAGAAGGACAAATTTGAATTCTAAAAAAAAAAGACCAACCAATTACTGTTGTCACAAACAAATCTCAATACTTTGAAATACATTTCGATAGTAAGAATAGAAAATAAGTTTTATCACCGCCGTTTGTAACTTCAATGACTAAATATCGAAGATAGTTTCAGTGATTCTCATAATATAGAAAGCCTTTTTGATTTGTATTTTTACTACGTTTTTACGCGATTTGTTAATATAAATATCTCTCTAATTTATTTGTGAAGCTGAAAAAAACAGGATATTTTTCTTCGCTACTTGCCATGACTTCAAAAAATTTTCTTTCAGTGGTTTTAATTTCAATTCTATCGAAGATCAAATAGTTCTATACAAAAACTATACTTCGAATATCATGCCACTGTTAAATACGATACAGCTACTTTATTCTTCAAGCAAATTACAACAACATTTCCGGTATTTGATCTAACACAGAATTAATTGAAACTCGAGCTAATGATACAAAACTCTGTTTACTAATTGTTACTAGAGCCTCTCTAAAAACCACTGGATGACGCAAAATCTAGAGACTATCAGGTATATTAATCTTGTATACTTAAAAGAAGATTGAATGACTATCGTTGACACTCTATTCTTCGTATTTAGTATCAGTTTAGTTGAAGTTTGACAAAAACCGAAGTATGCTCGTTTTTGTTTCGAAAAATCACTGGTCTGCATGCCTTCTTAAATTTTCTAACAAAAACTACAGCTCAATAAATATATCTGAAATAATAAACCCACAATGACAACATACATAACGATGTTATAAAAAGACTTTCTCTTAATGCTGACCTTTCTCTTTGATTGCTTCTCCTTTTTCAGCAGTCATCGTTGCAACATTTCAATGTAAAAAAAAAGAAAGAAGAATCTAAAGATAAAAATATTTATAAAAGAAAAGCACCAATAAAAATAATTAAAAAAAAACGCAAGATCAGATTAGATAATAGCTTAAATAACTGAAGCTATCAGTATAACAGAAAGCAATAATATTCCTCTTTTTTTTTGTTCATTTAAATATTGTTAACTACTGAATGTTTTACGGTCGTTAACTGAATTTCAATTTGATCCAATTCATTCTTATGATGACTTAATTTATGAAATACAAGATGTCGATAAAAATGTAATGAAAATATAGAAAATAATATAATAACTGGTACAATAATCATTGTTGCTGCAATAGCTGCTGGACGCATTAAAATAAAAAATTTTACCCAACACACAATAGCAATTTCCAATAGGAATAAAAATATTCCTAAATTAAACAAAAATAAGAAATTTGTTTTCGTTTTCAAAAAAAAGAGATAAAATAAAAACTTCTTACCAAATCCAGTACTTAAAATCCAAGCAAGTTCAACATAAATATGCATTGTTTCATGATCTTCATAAACAAGAAGATCACCAGATTCTACCAATGGTAATATACATGTGCTTATCATCAAAGCTAAAAGATGTACACCCACTACGAGACATGTTAATGTTGAATAAGCTGTAACTAAAGGTATTGATGCCTTTGATTGTTTATGATCATCTAGTGAGACTTCAACCATAGCAACCTGTGAAAAAGAAATAATGAAAAAATAGTCATAAATTATATTAATTTTGTTTTGAAATATAGTACGCACAATAGGCACTGACCATAGCAAAACCGGATAGTAGAGCACTTGTACGTGAAACGGCTTTTAATTTGGCCTTGCTAAATAAAAGACGACGTTCTTGTAATAGATGTTTTGTACGACTCTGTTCCATTCTCATTCTTTCTTTGATTAATTATTATAATGACAAGTAAAATACATCAAATATTTATGGAATAAAATTAAAAAAAAAACAACACAAGACAAGTCCAAAAAGTATCTGGATTACTATTGACATATATTGGAATATAATATAGAGTTTCATAGATGACGCTATAGTACGAATATTTATATATTAGTGGAGTTTGATGAAGAATGTGATAACTATTACACTGTACTTTAATTGTAATTGAACAATTGTCTTTGTAGTAATCATTTGTGGAATCGTGTATTTTATAAAAAAAAATGAGTCAATTTAATTGAGACTACGGGACTACGAAGATTTATTTTTCTAGAGTGGGAAGCATCAAAAGAGGGTCATACCTGTGAGAAGCTAGTCACAGGCTTCGAAACCGAGCGACACTTTGACGACTTGTCTAAGCCCAATTTAGAATAGTACTATTAAAAGTATATTTCTTTTAGAAAACGACTTTCTAAGCGATAAAACTTCACATCTACTGCAGTCATTTCAAAACTTTATTATCATTGTGATCATGAATAGACTAAGGCTAGATAATTTTAATGCTTGAAAAAACAGCATGAAAGATTAGTCGAGTTACATATTGAATCAAAATAGTACGATGCATTGTTGAATACTCCAATTTCTTGAAGACTATCATTTATTCACATAAATTTTGGCATAAAAAATGCCAATTGATCATTTGCAAAGAGTCAAATCGGTTACTATTTTTCGTCAAACTCTTAATACTGTTCCACTTCAATAATACTCATGTTACTTAATGCTATCTATAGTGTACTTGGCCTTCTTTGCACATGAAGAATGGTATGAAACTAAATAAATGTTCTGCTGTTATTTTTTGGCTAAATGAAATTTAAAAAACGTTTGCATAGTAAAGATTACTGATTGTTGTCAGTTGCAAGATATGATGTTCGAATAAAATTGATTAAAATGGAACTATTTCATTCTGACTTTTCAGCTTTGAAGATAGCTTTCAATTGATATTAGTCTTTTTTGATCGTTGAATAAAATTTAAATCGGGCAGCCCAACAAAAGTTTAGATTCATCACGTCCATTTTGAGTCCTGATCAACTTTCAGCTGATTATTTGATTTAAATGTTGTTCTCGTTCCCATTCGTGGCCAGATACTTGCATTCATTCTTGTTTCTGCAATATGATGATGAGATATATGACAGAATCTATCAAAAAAAAACCAAAAACATAAATCGCGTAAGCTGCTGATTGGTTCAGATTAAATCTTAACATTTGAATGTCTGTTAGTAGATGCTATGATTTCATGTCAATTTTACTTCAAGAAACAATAGTATCTTGTCAATTTATTGAGTATGAAGTAGATATTAGTTATGACAACGAATGAATTTTATATACTAATCAACAGTTGCCTATTAAAATTTATCTACAGTCGGTTTATGATTAAATCATGACTAATGATGAATATTAAGTCTCATTCATATTCTACAAAACAGTGGTCGTATATCGGATTTTTTCAATCCGGTGTTACATTTCGTGTGCTCGAAAAAATATGCTTTTTACACAATGAAAGACAAATTATCTTAAATTCCGTTTATTTTCTATTTATATGAATAAATAAAGAAGCGAAAAACAAAAAAAAACAAAACAAATATCTGATTAGTGTTTTCATTTTTTTTTTATCACATTGTTGATCAACTCACAATAATTAATCTAGTAAATATGGATTGATATACATATGTCGAAGTCTTGAATATAAACCAATATGATGAACTAAATTTGGTTCGACAAGATATGTTTGTAGATGTATGCGTTTTGGTAAATCGTCAAAAGCTGTATCGATCGCATATCCATTATGACATTTAATACTATTTAAATAATCAATAACTTGAATATATGTTTGTCGAAAATAGACTACGCCTGGTAAACAACATGATGGTGCTGGATAAATAGCATAAAATGATGGATGTAATGAACGCCATGTCCAAGATACATTAGAATGATTAAGTAAAATAAGTACGAGTATTATAAGAAGAAAATAATATATAAAATAAATTCGATTTAAATTATTAGAAATCAGACGACAAATAAATGTAATATGATTTATAGAATTTTTATCATTGTTGCCATTACCCTTGAATAAAATATTATCAAAGAAATTATTTTAGTATCAAATATTAATATCAAACCAAAATAAGAAAAAAGCACAACGAGTCAAACTTGAACTCAAAATAACTCAGTTAGTTTCTAGGTTAATCAATTTTCACTCATTAGATATACCTTAGAAAAATGTAACAACATCATTTAGAAAAACCAATCGTTGCCTATATAAGAAGTAAATAAATGATAGTATGTAATTTGAAATATTACAAATGTCTAGATGAAATAGTCATTATTCTCTACTCTATGTAACAAATATTCATTGTAAAATGAAAATTTGTTATTGTATTTTGACATACCTGTTTAATGATTTGAAATAAATTAAAGCAAGCAAAAGAAAAAAATGTAAGAAGAAGACTTGTTGCAATTAATTGTATAATAATATAAACTGATGGATGTAAATAATTAATTAACCATCTTGGGTGATAAATTTTAAGAAAAGCTGGTTGTTGTCTATAACCATTTAATGGCCATAATTGTTTAATACGATAATCAATTAATGATAGAAACCGATGATAAAAATCATCACCAATTGGTTGTGCATCATCTTGTAATAATAGAAAATAATTAACATTGGGAAATGATTGAAAATTAGCTAGAATACATTGTAAATGTGCGTATTTTTCTCGTTCATACATATCAATTATTTGATCTGAATCAATTGTATTAATAATAAAAACCGGTACTAAACGTCGAATTAAATCAATACCATCTGATATTTGATTATTTATATTACCATTTTCACATAATGTGATTATAAAACGTGAATGATAATTTTTCAAAAGTTGATAAAGTACTTGACCAACATAAAATTTACCATCACGACGATCTGTATCTTGTTGACTATATAAAATGGATATAACAATATGATCATTGGTATTAGTATGATTATTCAATAATATTTGTTTAGGCTTATCAAATAATGTATATGATGATAAAGGTGAATTATTATTTTTCATTTGAATAAAATCATAAAAACGTGATTGAAAAGTTTGATTTGAAATAATATTTGAATAATTTTTTGAATTTTTCCATAAATTATCAAGCCATTCATAAGCTTGTTGTTGTTCTTGTTTTTGTTTATCTATTAAATCATTACGTATAGGTATAATAGATAAAGTTTCAGGTCGAATATATTTTAAATTATATAGAAGAGCAAATGGTTTATGATAAGATATTAAACTAGCTATGAATAAAACAATTATAAATATATATAAATGAATACGTTGATGCCAACGAAATAAAATAAATGATATACTAGATATTATTAATTTAATATAATTTCGACGATATTTGAAATAATAGAAGTGATGTTTAATATGTGAAAGCATTTCATAAGCACTTATTTATAGAAAAATCAATAAAATACTATAGAAGATTTACAATTTTTTTATCTGTATCAACAAACATAGTTATTTATTTTTATGATTCATATGTGAAAGAGAAGACAGCCCTACGCAGCTATTCATTCGTTCTCTTGTCATTGACACATGCCTGCTACATTTTCTCTCACAATGCATCGTTCTCTGTCGTGTGCCCTCTCATCGACGATAGACGACGTCAGTGGTGGGAAGCAAGAAAGAGAAAAATAAGTTGTGTTATAACTTCAAGAAGAATCCTATGAAAGAAACATAAATGTATTGCATGGTAGAAGTACTTCATTAATATCATCATTTTAATGCTCAATAAACTTATGACAATCATTCAAGGTGCGATGAAATTTACTCATTTATATGAACTCATTCATCTCTCCAATAATTTAGTGATAGAAAAACTTGACATTGTTATTGAACAGAATTCCTTGACAATTAATTACTTATATTCAATTTCTGTATTTTGTCGTTATTGTCATTTAGATTCATTAATTGATGACAACGAAGTAAAAAATTCAACATCCGTCACTTGAATATGCTATGCGCTCTGAAATAAAGCTAGAGGGTGGATGAAACAACTCACTTAATCAAACGAAGAAACAAGCAACAAAAAAAGTCAAAGTGGTCATAGTATATGGATCGAAGTCTTCTATGTGTATATATAATATATGTTGCATTCTAAGCATCGTATTCTGTTTCAAGAGGGAAGAAATTTTTGTCATGCACTGAGTAATCAATAGAACAAATCTGTCAATTTTGGTTTGCTTCCTCATTCTTCAAATGAAATAAATATAATGTCATAATCGATTTCATTTATTTTTTTTGAGAGACAATTGAATTAGCGTATCTAAGTCATTATTGATTATGTTCAGTAACTATTCATTTCTTTTTAATAATTATAAAAAATAATGATATCAACCATTTGATTAATGAATTATATTTGAGCAAGCCTACATATGTTCAATCTACCGTTTTATTTGTTCAGATCTAATAAAAACACAAGTTACTGATGATGATAAGTGACTAATTCATCGATTCATACACATAGTTTTACACGTTCGAATTCGGATAACATTTCTTATTTCAAAGTTTAAATGTAATGTAAAAAGTCAACTTTGTAAATACATATCATTTTTTGCTACACATTTCGGAAATAAGTTTATGATTCTGATTTAAAACAAGACCTTCATAAATTCATTCAATGAATGTATGTGTACATATATATATATATTGCTCAATCAAAAACATGACAATAGATTTTCGATCTGATTTTGTTCTAAGCAATACATTTTCATAAAACAATGATCGATTTCGACCAAAACTGAGAAAATTAAGCCACTGGATCGAATCACAGGATTTCAATGTCAAAATTTCTACCATTTTTCGACAGAAACTGACTGTAATTCATTCATCTGAATGATTATTGAGCTGAAAGCAACATAAATGTCAATATGGAAAGATTAGGTTGTATTGTCCTAGAATCATTTTATGAGTAATTTGTTGTTTTTGATAAGCTTAACATGATATTATTATATTTCAATCTCTGCAAATAATTGTTTCTATTGTGATACTAATTCTACAATGGAATAAAAAAAAAGATTAGACTATTACATTGCTTGATACTTTGATAAAGCTTTTATCGAAAAATAGAACAAGAAAAAAGGAATATTTTTTTATGCGAACAGCAATTAGTTTACAAAAAAATTGTTTATAATTTCTTTGCACAAATTCCGTCATTTAATCTTTCTTTATTTGGCATCAGTGTACTGCCTTAGTAAATTTATAGAAGTATGATAGTTAATTCAAGGTCACATATGGAGATTTTCGGCAATAATAACAGTATGTGTGATGATTATTCGGTCCACATTCGTCACTACTTCGTCATCGTTTTACGCATCTTGTTATGACATTAGAACTGATAAACATATGTTCTAAATTTTTCTTTTGTTACACTATATTGACAAGTGAACATCTGTTGTATGATGAAATTGAAATTGTTGCAACTAGAAATTTATTTGCGGCTTCGAAAAATGATGACTAATTTTCGAATGACGCTAACAAAAATTGTGATTGTCTTAAAGTTTTCAAGTAACCCTAGGTTTATCTTAGTATCAGCCATCGAAATCAATTGAAAAATTTCAGACGCTGATAAATCTTGCGTTCCGCATGTTTTCAAGTATGACTGATGAAAGAAGTCGTCCAATCGATAGATCGCTTTTGATTGAAGACTATAAGTATTAAACAGACTCAAGTAAGCTTTGCACATCTTGAAAAGAGTCAGCAATACTCTCAGAGCATCAAGTCTTTTCAAGATATGCATAGTCTTGGATCAAAAGTGATTTATTCGTTGGAGAACTTTTTTGTGATTTCCTCAGTTTTCTTTCAATTCGTGCAATTTCATTGAAGTCTTAATTAATAATTTCTTGTCCTTTCTTGAATGTTTGAGTTTTTAAAATTCTAAGAACTGGCTCTTTAACGATATTAGTCACACATCAATATATGAGTTTAATTCGAACTCTATATTAGTGGAATTTACAACAAGAAAAAGAGCGAATATACATTTATTAAAAGTAAGGCAAGACATAAAAATAAATCTCGTTTTCAAAAGAAAAAACAACAAATTGAAGCATAGATAATCATTCTCTTATGACATTGCATTGCACATATACAGTCATAAAAATAAAAACACAATCATCTGTATCATAATATCGATTACAACAGGAGTTAACTAAATAATTGTCTTGTTTAAATAAAAAGAAATGAGATATTTCTATTTTACAATATCAATGTTTTAAATTCTCGAAGTTCTTTCATACGTGACAAATACTTTTCATTAATTTTTTTCTGGTATATATACATAAATAATTGGATGATTAAATAGAGCTGATAAAGGAGATGTAAATTTCGATAGAGCAATATGATTTATTTGATTATTGTGTTGAATAAATGATTCTAGTTGATATTGTTCATCATTTGACAATATATTGGAATGTGAAGGTGATGATATCGATTGATTATAATAAACATACCAATTATTTGATTGTTTATCTTTATAAAACATTAATTTACTATTTCTTTCATTTGAATCACATAGAATAGCCAATAATTTATATCGAGATAATCGTTGAGAATTATTATTTTCTAATAAATTGTGAATTGATATTTTTGAATTCGGTAAAAATAAACTTTTTGATTTTGTTCTTGTTCGAATTAATAAACATTCAGGTTGAAAAACAAGCAATGTTCTACCACTTTTAAGATAATATTGATCAATAGCCATTTGTACAGTTATATAGTCTTTTGTATTATAATCTAATGTTAAATAAGTCTCTTTATGATTATCAACAAATATAAGCCATTCTACTTGAAACCATTCATTAACAATTTCGTTGTAAATAGCAAATAATTCTGGATATGAAAGACTTTTTCTTGTTGATGTAGAAGTATTAGTATTTGGTCTTAATGAATGTGAAGGAGATGGTATTGATTGAGCTATAGATGATGAATAATTCGAATCAAAAAAATCATTTCCAAGAGGTCGATTTGGATTCGGCATAGTATCATCTAATAGATTGAAAAAAAGCAACAATAGATTAATATATATTTTACATGAAAACTATATTCTTCTCTTGTTATTTAATTCATTAGGTTTTTTTTATCAAGTAGATTATTTATGAGTGATATGTATGAAAATTTTTAATATTTTGAATTGAAATTCTAATTTGATTATTAAATAATGAGCAAAACTTGTTGTTTATGAAAATGAATAACAATTGTTTTTACTAGAAAAATAAAGGATGAAAACAATAAGAGATAAGCAGCATACTTCATATATTTGTATTTCTATATGATTTATATTGTTTTATGTCCATGCTGTTTTAAGACATGATCCTATGCTTCTCAAAAGGAGAACATATGGTTTGTTTCTATTTCGAAAATATCTTCAAACACGTATGCATACAAAATACCTGGTTTTGATCTGTTTAGCATAAATATAAATAAAACAATCCCTTATAGCTGAAGATTTTTGTGTTTATTGTTAATATAATATTCTATTCAACTAAGCAAAAGTTTTTTATTAATTAACCATCGAGTAATGAGAATAAACGTAATAAGAACTAAGTGCACATCGGTTTCTTTTACTGTGAGTAGTACAGAAATAGCTAAAACTCTGATACTTTACTTGTTTATGCACAAAAAGGATGCCATATAATTGATGTAAAAAACTCGCATCCGAACACGACCATGTTCGTATTCAAAGTTTCAGTTGTTTTGGGCTCTAGTTCCAGAAGCAAAACTTTGCTTGAGTTCGTGTCCACAAAAGCGTAGACCTGTAGCTGCCGAACCCACAACTACTATATAGAGTGATAAGAGAAATTGCATCACAGTATTATGATAGTACAAAGTATCAATTTTGCAGTTTTACATTGCTTAATTTTATACATACGGTGATGAGAATACAGATCTTATTGATGGAATCCTATGAGTAAACGATAGTAAAAACTACATTTGTATTTGCAGAGTGCTGTGTTTATAACTGCGAAGAGAACGTTAGATCGAGATAAGTTTCATTTCTGGTGGATAGAGCTTATCGGCTCCAAAATTTTCGGATCCAGACACAATGAGTTTTAGTTATGGACTCTCATTCACTCTATAATTCTCGAGTATTCACAACATTCAACTTCTGTGTACATGTTAACTCCACTTTCGGGTCGAAATAGAAAGCTGATGGGTTTTCAGTATACAATTTTGTAACTATAGAATAAAACTAATAATTGAAAGATAGTTCAAAATCATACTTAAAGGATAAGCAGGTATCACATGTTCCTTTGATTCATCTTCATATTGTTCGAAACCGATAAAAGATTTCTTTTCATCAGAAAGTATTCCTTCAAATCCAATGCGAGGTGATCTTGATTGCATGATGTTTTTTTATCTAAAACTATCAAATTCTAAAATTTGTATGATTGTTGAATAATAGAAAAAGAAAAAAAACAAGGGACGTCATATTTAGTAGAAAAAGATTGAAATAATTGAGCCAAATGTTCAAAATATAGATTGTTTTGACATTAAAAAGAATAATAAGAATGTCAATTGCCTTTATTTTTCAAACGATAATGTTGAGATATAACATAAATATCATAAATAAGAATAGAAATAAAATAAACAGGAATGATATATTGAAAATAAAAAAACCAATTTGGTAACTGAAATGGAATTGTATGTGAACTAAAACAAAAATATTTCGGAAAATCAAAGCAAACAATATCAATCAACTGATTTTACTTGAATATCGGTGATGATACTTTATAGATCATTATTGCAACAAATACTCCCATTTGAATACTTATTAAAAGATTTGTAACTTGTTCAAGAATTATTTTAAAACCCTATAATTATTAAATAACTTGAATTAATAGATCAATAAGTTTTTTTTTTGTACAAACTTTTGGGTTACTAAATGCAACTGCAAATACAATTGTAAAGGCTATCAACCATAAAGTCCATCGAACAACTCTACGATGAATAGAAATGAAAATTTATATGACTATAAATATTTCATAATCAATTACTAACCGTTGTACAGTAAGATATTTGAAAATACCTCGATATTTTGTTTCAGCTGTGAACGTTACATCCCAATATGAATCGACAATACCTATGACTATAGAAAACTAACTATATATAATGAAATATAAATCGAATAATCTTACTTGTATGATATAATATTGAACCAAAAGTTATAAATGATACTGTAACACTTATCAAAACAAACAGTTGAATAAGTATTGAAATATATTTATAACTATAATCTCTGTCTTCAAGAATCTATTCAAAAAAATAAAGAAATAAATAATTTTTTTCTACACGAGATGATAAAACAAACTATGCTTAATGATACTGTTGCAATTTCGCCATTTTTTGCAGATCTTAAGAAAGAAAAAGAAAATTATTGTTAGTATTAGATGAAACATTCAAAGCTATGATGAATAAAATACAATGATAAAAAATCAAGTATTACTGTACAATAGTCGATTAGCAATTTTCCATTGTCAATAAATAAGAAAAGCTGTGTTTTAGTTAATATTTAAGGGCGCTACATTACTATTACTCAGTAATTGGTTATAATTATTATTACTTTGTATTAGCATTTGCTTTGTTGTTGCTATGTTGATACAATTAGAGTTTTTATTGTTTGTTACTTGCGAAATATGAAATAGTGTCTACTTATTTTATTACCAATTACTTTTTTATTAATAATAAATCAATGAGAAATAATATATTATTACGATAATAAAGTCATAACAAAGCAATAAATACCAGAGGAGGGTGTGTGCAAGTATTAATGCGGATATGAGCCTTCAGTTCACCAAAACTCACGCTCAAAAAACAAAAATAAATATCGATATGGAAAGCCCTTGTGACGCAGATAGCATTCCTGAATAGATTCTTAGGAGATTATTGAAAATTCTCTGGAGTTTTATGGAATCGAAGAGATAGTATGGGATCCAAGGGAAGGAATCTTAGACTTCAGGGATTCCACCATTCATCCTTTGATACATCTTCTATTGATAATGTATAAATTTTGAGATTAATCCGTATTGGGAAAATAGAATCAAACCTTTTCATAATACTTTAGTCTGGAAGGGGAAATTTAACCGATGATTAAAAGTATTTCTATATCTTACTTATGTGTTACTTTATGACTGTTTTGGTCGTTATTACTTATTACCAGTGGTTGTATTATAGCACTTCTATTGATATCTTTGTTAAATTAGTAGATCTATAGGCAAATTCCTTCGTTAACAACGTAATTTTACAAGATAAAACAGTGTATATCTTTGGATTCTGGAAATTCTGTCCGCTAATTTTACATAGCATATAGATGTTGAGTTACTTTATGCATCATGAAAAATTCCGTCTTCCGAATCTTTGTTCCGCTGATGAGAAAAGGTCCCCAAGTGTGAATCACCGTTTCGAATGGGAGATATCTCAGTTTGTAGAGCTCGGCGAGCTGATTCTCGTGGTATGATTCATTTTTTCCGATAGAACTTCAAATAAGAAAAACTGATCGATTTTGCTAGTGAATTTCTACACTTTGCATAAGTTTTGAGGCAGTTGTTAGAAATTTAGAACTTCAAAGGTACTTCATTTTTATATGGCCATGTTATAGAATAGAGAATGCCGCATGTGATGATCTATTTTTATATTATTTTAAGAGTAAGTTCAGCTTTATCTTCTGAATACATAACAACATTTTCTCTCGGGAGCTCTCAAATACCTCCAAGTGTAACAATTCAACAATTAAAATTCATAGCAATGATGAAAATAAGTTTTACAAGGAAATATTGTTCCCAGATTCTTTGAAAATAATATAAAAATAGATCATCACATGCGGCATTCTCTATTCTATAACATGACCATATAAAAATGAAGTACCTTTGAAGTTCTAAATTTCTAACAACTGCCTCAAAACTTATGCAAAGTGTAGAAATTCACTAGCAAAATCGATCAGTTTTTCTTATTTGAAGTTCTATCGGAAAAAATGAATCATACCACGAGAATCAGCTCGCCGAGCTCTACAAACTGAGATATCTCCCATTCGAAACGGTGATTCACATTTGAGGACCTTCCCTCGTGAGTTATTATTGAAAAAACAAGCTTTAGGATGTGAGATAAAAAAAGGACGAAAGTTTTCATTGCGCCCGTTTCATTCTACAAAGTTTGTAAGTTTAAACCGTATGTTTAAAAACAAAATAGTGCGTTTTTTCATATGACTCTTCAGACTATAAAATCTCTACACAAAGATTTTCCTGAATATGTTTAGATTTTTCAAAACACTGAATTTTTGCGTTTTTAACAACGTGAATGAACACAGATATAGAAACGAAAATCCTTTGGTAAGTGATTGACAAGTTCAGAAAATTAATTAGATAAGAATTTCTAAAAATTCTTTTAAACAATCTAATCACACTTTTTATTTGAGCGTTCTCACACCAATTCAGATGATACTAAAACGATCTGCTTTCATCATAAAAGATCTATAGAGACACTTAAAACACCAACTTTGACATATGAAAACTTGCCAACAAGTCATTTCTCTCTGCAAAACATGTCGAAATATCGTGACAAAAAAAAAAAGATTTTTGAACGTTTGTCAGATGCTTAAGTTCCTTTTTTTAGGTATCTTCAGCCGTCTTTTATGAAGAAAGTACGCGTTATGTTGTTTTTTTGAATGAACGTGAACATTGATTAGGATGTGTAAACACATTTTCAGAAACTTTTTTTGTTTGTTTCAGAAATAGACGCCTGGAAAACTAATTGTTACGAAACAATTTTGTGAAGACCGATCTTGCTGTGAATTTCATCACAAACATAAGGTGGTGAAAAACAGTTCAACAACAACGTCTGTTTGATTTTTTTTTATGCATGAAATCGTAAGCAATTATCTCTAATCCAGATCGTACTTTAATACCTAATGCATCCTATAATAGATGAACTATGATTGCGCGATTTCTAAGAAACAAACATGTTAGTTTCTAGATTTAGGAAGACTTTGTCCAAGCTATTTGTAAACCATGGCACTTTCAAGAGCACAAAACTTCTAAGCAACATGAGTAGTCATCACATTTTCTACTCTTTAAAATAACATTGTTGAAAAATAGCTGCGACAAAATCTTTTCGGACCTGAAAACTATTGTGTGTATTGTTTTAGAAACCTTACCATCATAACTACTCTAGTATAGAATGCGTTAAAGAGAAAACTATCGACTATTAAAATCACTATCTGGACACTTGAGATGATTGCTTAATATTATTGAAAAAACTCGAAAATACATTGTTTTAATTCATTATCTAATTAAGCTTAATTAACTATGAACTGCAAGAGACATTATTTTTACATATGTTCCTTCTACGAGAACTTGTTCAAAACTATCACCCTTATAAAGAATAAGAGTCGAATTGACAATGGATAATATTTCATTGTCGCTGGTTTTGTCGATATATTGGTTCTGAAATGGCAAAGAATTTTTATGAATCAATGATGTTCACGTTGTCTATATGATCGAAGCAGGTTATTATATTAATTTACAGATGCTTTGTCGTTACAAAGGAAGCGTGGCTTGAAATGTAAGCATGTACATATATTACAAGCTAGTGAATTTAGTTTAACAAGTTTTAAAGAGTCTTTTATTAACATAATTACTTTTCTAATGAAGGCGAATAGATACATTGACCTTCAACTTGTGATTCATTAAAAAGATTATATGCCATTGGGATAGATTGATTAAAGTTATCCGATAAACAAACACTACGTTGTGGAACGATTTCTAATACTGACCAACACCTTGAGATAAAATAACATTTAAGAGACATATATTTTATATGTTTTAACACATAAAATTTACTCAACAATCGTCGTAAATACGATGTGCTCAAAATTTAATGTAATGTATTTGACAAGATTAGAATTTGTTTTTCTCTGCTCAGAATTCTCGACATATCTTTAACAACTTATGACGTATTGCAAATAGCTTGCAGAATATCTCACTATAAGAAATTTCATCATTGTTTAAGAGTGTTCCAAGCGGCGATGAGGTGCGATCATCCACATCTCTTAAAACTTCGATTTTTTCTCAATGAGATTCCAGCATTGTATTGTTTTTGGTTTTGCTCATGGATTTCAAAAAAAAACGTTTGACTTCCTCCTCCTACATTAAAAATATTCGATCATCTTTAGCAAAAATCTTCCAATGAATTCTCTGAGTCATCGACTATCTCGAATCTTGACAATATCGAGACTTAGAGATTGATCAAATCCCAGTCAGAAGTTCAGATCAACTGAGCGAAAGAACTCTATCAATAGATCCGTTCCTAGAACTGACGAAGGAACTTCTTCAGGAGCCGAATCACTTGTCGAT